TTCTTCTTCTTCTTCTTTCTTCTTCTTCTTCTTCTTTTCTTCTTCTTCTTCTTCTTCTTCTTCTTCTTCGTTTCACTCTTGTTGCCCAGGCTGGAGTGCAGTGGTGCCATGATCTCGGCTCACCGCAACCTCCGCCTCCTGGCTTCAAGTGATTCTCCTGCCTCAGCCTCCAAGTAGATGGGACTACAGGCGTGCGCCACCATGCCCAGCTAATTTTTTGCATTTTTAGTAGAGACAGGGTTTCACCATGTTAGCCAAGATGGTCTCGATCTCCTGACCTCGTGATCCGCCCCCCCTCAGACTCCCAAAGTGCTGGGATTACAGGCATGAGCCACTGCACCCAGCCTGCCTTCTTCTTTATTGTGTCCTCAAATGGCAGAAAAAGGGTGAGAAAGCCCTTTGGGGTCCCTTTCATCTGGGCACTACTCTCATAATTAGTGAGGGCTCCACCCTCATGACCTAATTACCTCCCAAAGGCCCCACCTTCTAATACCATCCCCTTGGGAGTTCGGATTTCAACATATGAATTGGGACGGGGGGCACAAATATTTTTTCTATAACAAATGGCCTGTTGCTGTGGATTTAACATGGTTTCCTTTAAATGTGAGCACACAAGAAGCATCTTTTCACATGCTAAAGCCATAGGGTTATTCTTCTGTAAGCTATACAAAAACATGTGCCCCTTGGGGCATTCACAAAGTGTATGCCAGACCTCCGTGGCTCTCCCCATCCCTGCACCGTCTCATTTATCAGCCTGAATCTTTATGGCTGTGTTCTTTCTGCATTTATTCTGGTCCCTTCCCTCCCATCATACCCCACAGCCATCTTCCTGGGTCCCTCCCGCTTCACTGCTTCACTGCCTCTCTGAAATTTCTAGAGCATCCAGGTCCGTCGGGGGTGGGGCCGTGTTGTGAGAATTCAATTCATGCCTCCGTAGGATGGAGCCGCTTCTTAACCAGCTGCTTTTAATGAGAATCTTCTAACTTCCAATACAGGGAGGCTGTTGGAGGAAGGAAGGCAAGTAAATGAAGAGAAAGAACTGGAATAACTCCTTCCAGGAAGAAAAGGGTAAGATTGACCCAGAACCATCCTGTGCTCCATTTCTAGGAGGGAGAGCCGTGAGGAATGAACACAGAGACAGGGTCAAGACAGTCGAATTTGCACAGGCTCAGGAGAGGCAGTACAGTACGCAACCTGGCTCCTGTCCCACGGTGGGTGCTGGGGCGATTTGAGAGCTGCAGAGGAGACACAGACACGGGGTCAGGTTTTGGAGCCGGGGCTGTATATGAAGAAACACGTTCCTCCCACCTGCCTCTTCTGGTCCTCTGTGTCTCCTCAGGAAGCAAGCTTCGCTGAGTCTTGCAAAAGCTGCAGCCCCACCCAGGAGCAGGGTGGAGGCTGGGGCGATGGTGGATGCCCTGAAGATGCCCCATGGCTACTGAAGGGGCTGCCCAGTTAGGGAACAGAGTGGCGGGCATGGTGTGTAGCCTATGGGTCCTGCTTCTAGTGTCTTCAGTTCTGGCTCTGGAAGGTAAGAGGGAGGGAAGGCAGAAGAACCCGACCTGCCAATGAGACCCAGTGCAAGGGGCAAGTGGGGAAGATTCAGAAAAGGTAGATAAGGGTGAACACATCAATAAAGGGAAAGGCATGGTGAGGATAATGAAGACCTACATCAGATTTGTCAGAGAAAGGATGCTGATGGACAGCCGTGCTCCTGCTGGCAAAGACGTGTGCGGAGGAGCGGGCAGTAGGGGTGTGGGGGGTGTTATTTTGCTTCCAGTGGAATGGAGTAGGGGCTGGTGGTGCTGGCTGGAGGCTTGGCCACTGTGTGCGCCTCTTATTTCTGGGCAGAGGTATTGCTGGACACCACCGGAGAGACATCCGAGATTGGCTGGCTCACCTACCCACCAGGGGGGGTGAGTGCCACTCTAATTCTGAACCTGAATCCCTTGTCCCTGCCCCTCCCTGTTCCCTGGAGAGTGAAATTCGTGAAGGAAACCCCGGGTGAGGATTATGAGATAAGACCCCCTCCCTGTAGAGCACCAGCATATCAAGGCATCCTCTCTGCTTCATTTGTCATTAATTTTAAGTCTCAGTGGAAGAGATATGTCCCCTTTCCTATACCCTCTACCTCTCCTTGCTTCAGTCCGGAGCCCCTAAAGCTTCTCCTGGCCCTTCCTGCAGTGGGACGAGGTGAGTGTTCTGGACGACCAGCGACGCCTGACTCGGACCTTTGAGGCATGTCATGTGGCAGGGGCCCCTCCAGGCACTGGGCAGGACAATTGGCTGCAGACACACTTCGTGGAGCGTCGGGGCGCCCAGAGGGCCCACATCCGACTCCACTTCTCTGTGCGGGCGTGCTCCAGCCTGGGCGTGAGCGGCGGCACTTGCCGGGAGACGTTCACCCTTTACTACCGCCAGGCAGAGGAGCCCGACAGCCCTGACAGTGTTTCCTCCTGGCACCTCAAACGCTGGACCAAGGTGGACACAATTGCAGCAGACGAGAGCTTTCCCTCCTCCTCCTCATCCTCCTCCTCCTCTTCTGCATCGTGGGCTGTGGGACCCCATGGGGCTGGGCAGCAGCGGGCCGGGCTGCAGCTGAACGTCAAGGAGCGGAGCTTCGGGCCTCTCACCCAGCGCGGCTTCTACGTGGCCTTCCAGGACACCGGGGCCTGCCTGGCCCTGGTCGCTGTCAGGCTTTTCTCCTACACCTGCCCCGCCGTGCTCCGATCCTTTGCCTCCTTTCCGGAGACGCAGGCCAGCGGGGCTGGGGGAGCCTCCCTGGTGGCAGCTCTGGGCACCTGTGTGGCTCATGCAGAACCAGAGGAGGATGGAGTGGGGGGCCAGGCCGGGGGCAGCCCCCCCAGGCTGCACTGCAACGGGGAAGGCAAGTGGATGGTCGCTGTTGGTGGCTGCCGCTGCCAGCCTGGACACCAGCCAGCTCGAGGAGACAAGGCCTGCCAAGGTGAGAGCCCTCGTCCTGCGCTGGCCCAACACTCCCACCCACCCCAGCCTTCGGGCTCCTCTTCTGAACACCCCAAAATTCATTTTATCTGCAAAAGGTCAGGAATAAGCCATCTTAGGAAAGGACCCCTATTTTCCCTAATTTTCTTCCCTAAAGCAGTCAAACTTGCTCTCACCCACTCATCTGAACTTTCTGGAATCTTCTGGAGCCTTTTGCAGCAAGTGCCTTCTCCCAGCCTGAGACGTGATGGAGACTGAAAGGAGTTTTGCTCCAGGGTTACTGTGGAATGGAGGCCATTGGTTCCCATTTGCCCTTCAGTTGGGAGGGTCCCTGGCTGGCAGGACCAGGTGACAGGGACTCAGGTAGAGGAAGGCAGTGGATGGTAGCTAAGAAGAATGACAGCGGCAGCAGGCCTCCGCAGAGGGAGCTTATGCAAGAAGCCAGAACACCCACATCGGGCACTGGGCCTGCCTGGAGCCCCCACCACACCTCACTTTCTTCATCCATGGAAATGCAACTCTGTCCCAGCAAATGGCAGGAGAAATCTCTGCTTGAGGGAAGAGATGGTGGGGTTCAGTCTTGGAAGAAAAGGAGAATCAGCTCTGGGAAGGAGAAGGCTGCGAGGGCCCCTGCCTGCTGTGTTTTGGGAGCTCAGGGTGGGTGGACGGAGCGACGCCCCCATTCTTCTCTCTGCCTTCTCAGCCTGCCCTCGGGGGCTCTATAAGGCTTCTGCTGGGAACGCCCCCTGCGCTCCGTGCCCTGCCCGCAGCCACGCCCCCAACCCAGCAGCACCCCTTTGCCCCTGCCTGGAGGGCTTCTACCGGGCCAGTTCCGACCCACCAGAGGCCCCCTGCACTGGTGAGTTCCTCACCCAGCCCTGAGATGGGAAGGAGCCTGGGAGAGGGGCTAGAAGTGGGGGAAGCCAGCAGCACTGGGGGACCTCTGCATTTGGAGTGACTTGTTTTCCCCTGTTTTCTTGACTTCTTCCCCTCCCTGTCCTCGCCCACTTCTGTCCCTGACCCATCCTCCCCTGGGCCCACCTCCTCCCTCTCTCGGCTGCCCCCACCCCGTGCTCCTCTGTCTCCTTCCGTCTGGGCCACCCACCCTCCCCTGGCTCCTTCCTTCATCACCCATGATTCCTGCCCTCGTGGCCCTTGGACCACCACTCCCTCCGGCCCCCCAGGTCCTCCGTCGGCTCCCCAGGAGCTTTGGTTTGAGGTGCAAGGCTCAGCGCTCATGCTACACTGGCGCCTGCCTCGGGAGCTGGGGGGCCGAGGGGACCTTCTCTTCAACGTCGTGTGCAAGGAGTGTGAAGGCCGCCAGGAGCCTGCCAGCGGTGGTGGGGGCACTTGTCGCCGCTGCAGGGATGAGGTCCACTTCGACCCTCGCCAGAGAGGCCTGACCGAGAGCCGAGTGTTAGTGGGGGGACTCCGAGCACATGTACCCTACATCTTAGAGGTGCAGGCTGTCAATGGGGTGTCTGAGCTCAGCCCCGAGCCTCCCCAGGCTGCGGCCATCAATGTCAGCACCAGCCATGAAGGTGAGCCCTTCTTCCTGGCCTTCAGGGTCCCCTGCCTCCACTCCTTTGGGCCCCTTCCCTGCTCCTGATCTCCAGCCTGGTCCACCCTGCCGCCCTCCCCCCAGAGCTGCACCTGCTCTCAGGGACTGCTGTTGCCCTAATAGTGCGATTTCCCTTTTGCACTCCAGTGCCCTCTGCAGTCCCTGTGGTGCACCAGGTGAGCCGGGCATCCAACAGCATCACAGTGTCCTGGCCGCAGCCCGACCAGACCAATGGCAACATCCTGGACTATCAGCTCCGCTACTATGACCAGGTGCGCAGGAGGAGTCGGGGGTCCACAGCAGGGGTGGCAGGAGCTCACAGTCCCCACGCAGGGGCCAGAGGCCTGCAGCACTGGGAATGTGTCTGAGAGCCCTGCCGACCAGGGAGGGTGGCTGGGGGCCTTGGGGGCAGAAACAGGGGCATGAGGGGGCCAGGCAGGGAGTGAGTGGCTGTTACCCCCAGGCAGAAGACGAATCCCACTCCTTCACCCTGACCAGCGAGACCAACACCGCCACCGTGACACAGCTGAGCCCTGGCCACATCTACGGTTTCCAGGTGCGGGCGCGGACTGCTGCCGGCCACGGCCCCTACGGGGGCAAAGTCTATTTCCAGACGCTGCCTCAAGGTAAGCCGGGGTGGGGGGTGCAGATGGGCAGGTGAAGGCCCAAGGGGGTAGTGAGGAGAGGTCCAGGCAGGGATTATCCGGCCTTGAACCCTGGCCCAGTGTTTCCCAACCAGAGGTTCTGTGGGAGAAGAGAATGCCCATGGCTCAGAGGCTGACCTAGAGGCTACTTGGGGAGGGGGCAGTTGTAGGGGTGTGTGTGTGTGTGTGTGTGTGTGTGTGTTGAGTGTGGGTGTGGGAGGCCTGTGAGTGTGTGTGTGTGTCCCTGTATGTGGATATGGGAGGGTGTGGGGATGTGTGTGTGTCGTGTCCCTGTGTGGGGATGCGGGAGGGCTGTGGGGATGTGTATCTGTGTGTTGTGTGTCCCTGTGTGTGGATGTGGGAGGGCTGTGGGGATGTGTGTGTGTATGTGTGTGTTGTGTCCCTGTGTGTGGTTGTGGGAGGGTGTGGGGATGTGTGTGTGTGTGTCATGTCCCTGTGTGGGGATGTGGGAGGGCTGTGGGGATGTGTGTGTCATGACCCTGTGTATAGATGTGGGAGGCCTGTGGGGATGTGTGTGTGTGTGTCCCTGTGTGTGAATGTGGGAGGGTGTGGGGATGTGTGTGTGTGTGTCCCTGTGTGTGAATGTGGGAGGGTGTGGGGATGTGTGTGTGTATGTCCCTGTGTGTGAATGTGGGAGGATGTGGGGATGTGTGTGTGTGTGTCCCTGTGTGTGAATGTGGGAAGGTGTGGGGATGTGTGTGTGTGTTGTGTGTCCCTGCATGTGGATGTGGGAAGGCTGTGGGGATGTGTGGTGTGTGTGTGTTGTGTGTCCCTGTGTATGGATGTGGGAGGGCTGTGGGGATGTGTGTGTGTGTGGATGTGGGACAGTGTGGGGATACGTGTGTCTATCGTGTGTGCCTATGGTGTAGGTGGGTACCTGGCCCACCTGTGACCCTGGTGGCTGGTTCCCCAGGGGAGCTGTCCTCCCAGCTTCCGGAAAGACTGTCCTTGGTGATTGGCTCCATCCTGGGGGCCTTGGCCTTCCTCCTGCTGGCAGCCATCACCGTGCTAGCCGTCGTCTTCCAGCGGTGAGTCCCCACCCCTGCCCAACTCTGCCCAGCACTATTCACTCCACAGCCAAACCTCAAGCCCTGCCAAGTCCAGAGCCCCCTGCAGAAACCCCAGGCCAGTGTGCCTCCCATCACCCAGCCCCTGCCCTGGGCCCCACATGAAGGTGGGCAGGAGGGCGAGGCTGGCATCCCCCCTCAACAGACGGACTGAAGAGCAGCCTTCAAGGGCGACAAGGGGACACCAAGGGGGTGGAATGGGAGTGTCATTCCCGGTCACCATTTGTCCCTCAGGAAGCGGCGTGGGACCGGCTACATGGAGCAGCTGCAACAATACAGCAGCCCAGGTGGGGATGAGGAGAGGAAATGCTGGGGCCGGGGGAGCGGGAGCGCACGGGCAGGGCACATGTCAGGCAAGGCTGGACCCCCTAAGATTTGGGGAGCTCCTTGGCACAATCTTCTGGAGGTAAGTGGGCGTGTCTGAGGTGTGCAGGCAGCGCTGCCTGGCACCACATGCTCATAACACACTCCACACCCCTCCAGGACTTGGGATGAAGTATTACATCGACCCCTCCACCTACGAGGACCCCTGCCAGGCCATCCGAGAACTTGCCCGGGAGGTCGATCCTGCTTATATCAAGATTGAGGAGGTCATTGGGACAGGTACAGAAGGGGCAAGGCAGGGATCAGAGTGACGGGGCTCCCTTGTGGCCTCCCCTGGCCAGAGTCGAATCCAAACATGGCAGGATGCTGTGAGCCTTGACCCCCACCCCCAGCCTACACTTATTCTCCCAGGCTCTTTTGGAGAAGTGCGCCGGGGCCGCCTGCAGCCTCGGGGACGGAGGGAGCAGGCCGTGGCCATCCAGGCCCTGTGGGCCGGGGGTGCCGAAAGCCTGCAGATGACCTTCCTGGGCCGGGCAGCCGTGCTGGGTCAGTTCCAGCACCCCAACATCCTGCGGCTAGAGGGTGTGGTCACCAAGAGCCGACCCCTCATGGTGCTGACGGAGTTCATGGAGCTCGGCCCCCTGGACAGCTTCCTCAGGGTCAGTCCAGCCTGGGTAAAGGAGGAGGGTCCGTGGGTCCAGGACAGCTTCCAGGAGACAGCGTCCTGCATCTTTGCTTCTGCCCACTGCATCTTCCATGGTCTCCATCCTTCCTTCCCGGGCTGTTTTCTGGTTCCATGCCCACTCCCCTCTCATGCTGTTGTCTGCCCCTCTTCCCATCACTGACCTCTGCCCCCTGCCCCTGTCCCTCAGCAGCGGGAGGGCCAGTTCAGCAGCCTGCAGCTGGTGGCCATGCAGCGTGGAGTGGCCGCCGCCATGCAGTACCTGTCCAGCTTTGCCTTCGTCCACCGCTCACTCTCTGCTCGCAGTGTGCTGGTGAATAGCCACCTGGTGTGCAAGGTGGCCCGTCTTGGCCACAGTCCTCAGGTGAGAAAACAGCCCTGGGGACACAGCCTGGGGCCTTGTGGCATGCCCCAGCAGGTGCTGGCAGGGGGTTGAGCTGGAATCTGGGGTGGGTACCTCAAGTGGGATGTTATAGTCCCTGAAAGGAGGGAGGCTCTTCTGTGTGATGGGGGGAGGAAAACCTAGGCGAGGGGGGTTGAGGGATTTCAGGGACCAAGACAAAGAAATGGGGCGAGGGAAGGGAGGAGACCTCCCACCTTTCCCCCACTGTGGAGGTTACACAGACTCCAGAGTCAGCACAGCTGGGTACACACTCTGAACCCTCTGCTCTCCAGCTCCGTGACCTTGGACAACTTCACATTCTCTAAGCCTCACCTTCTGCTTCTGTGTAATGGAGATAATATCATCCACCTTGGAGGGTTGTTATAAGGATTAAATGAGATGCTTGATGTAAAACCCTTGCCATATCTGAGAACATAGTAGTTGCCCAATAAACGTGACTATTCTTTCTGCTTCTGTGAAATGGAGATAATATCGTCCACCTTAGAGGGTTGTTATGAGGATTAGATGAGATGATGGATGCAAAACCCTTGACATATCTGAGCACATAGTAGTTGCTCAATAAACATGACTGTTGCTATGATTATTACTATTTGCTCTTGACTTTACCCCTCAGGGCCCAAGTTGTTTGCTCCGCTGGGCAGCCCCAGAGGTCATCGCACATGGAAAGCATACAACATCCAGTGATGTCTGGAGCTTTGGGATACTCATGTGGGAAGTGATGAGTTATGGAGAACGGCCTTACTGGGACATGAGTGAACAGGAGGTGAGCACTGGCCTAGACACTGCTGATTTCCCACCCGATCCCTCCCAGGATGGAACATTCTAGGACCTCCAATCTCTACTCCATTTGTATTCTAAGATCTCATGGCTCTTGGATTCCTATCTTTGAGTTCCTTCTCCACTCCAACTTCATCTTCCACCAGATTCCAGCCCCACCCTCTTACCCAAGAAAATACTCCCCTCTACGAGCAAAACTTCCCATCGTCATAGTCTTCCTCTGACCCCCCACCCCCCGCCAGGTACTAAATGCAATAGAGCAGGAGTTCCGGCTGCCCCCGCCTCCAGGCTGTCCTCCTGGACTACATCTACTTATGTTGGACACTTGGCAGAAGGACCGTGCCCAGCGGCCTCACTTTGACCAGCTGGTGGCTGCATTTGACAAGATGATCCGCAAACCAGATACCCTGCAGGCTGATGGGGACCCAGGGGAAAGGTATGGAACTTGGGGCTAGAGCCTGGGAAAGCCAGGGAGGGTAGATGCAAACCAAGAGAAAACTGAGGAGAGGGACTGAGATGACGAGGAGACCTTGACCCTGCTTGCCCCTCCTCCCCTCTTAGGCCTTCCCAGGCCCTTCTGACCCCTGTGGCCCTGGACTTTCCTTGTCTGGACTCACCCCAGGCCTGGCTTTCAGCCATTGGACTGGAATGCTACCAGGACAACTTCTCCAAGTTTGGCCTCTGCACCTTCAGTGACGTGGCTCAGCTCAGCCTGGAGTAAGCAGGGAGTGGTGGGGTGGGGGCGAACGCTCCGGGCCCCTGGCTGGGGGTCGTGTTGGGGATCTTGGAGAAGCTGGCCCAGATTTGACCCCCTCCCTCCCCACCAGAGACCTGCCCGCCCTGGGCATCACCCTGGCTGGCCACCAGAAGAAGCTGCTGCATCATATCCAGCTCCTTCAGCAGCACCTGAGGCAGCAGGGCTCGGTGGAGGTCTGAGGTTGCTGCCAGGGACTGACGATGCCCGTGACTCACCCCTGGACACTGGTCCAAGAAGGGACATGTGGGACATGAGTGGGCTCCAACAGCCTCTGTGAGAGATGCCCCACACCAAACCCAACCCTCCCGATGCTGCATTCCCTGGTCCTCCACCTCTCCACCAGCCTCCTCCTCATTAAAGGGAAAGAAGGGAATTTGCAAGTGCAGTGTGGTGAGGCCTCAGTCTGCAAGGAAGGGTGAGGGACTCCTCGCAGGAGGAGCAGAGGAGTGGGGCAGGCAGATGGCACCCCACAGATGCAGAAGGGGAGCTGGGCAGGGATTGGAGAACGACTTTATTGAAGGTGGAATTGGCAAGACTTAGCCCCACTTCACCCCACCCCAGAGCCAGTCCTCTCTCTCTTACACACACACTTTCCACAAGCTCTGTGCCTCCCTGCACCTGCCTGGTGCCCTGGGAAGGGTGCTCTCTCTCTCTCTCTTTCTTCCCCCACTCATGACCCTGGGGTGGAGACTGAGGCTGAGCAGGCTGGCCTGTTTTTAAAGTGCTCTGACGTGCAGTGCTACTGTCGGAAGGGGTGAGGAGCCAGCCTCGGGAGAGCTTCTCACGCCTGCCAGTCCTGTGCTTGGGCTGGGCTCCGTCTGCCCCAGGGCTGAAGGAGGAACGCAGGCTGGGAGAGTAATTCTCATGTGCATTCCTTGGCGTTGATGCTACTCCTCTTTGTCCCCTGGGGCCTGGGAGATGAGACCTCTGGGTGTTTGATTTTTGTTTTGTTTGATGCTCCCAGGAAAACGAGAGCACGTTCCAGGAAGCCCAGTGACAGCACACAGTCAGATCTGGTATTCCCAACCTTCCCCTTCCTCCAGACCCCTGTTGATTATCCCACGCAGGTCGCTCCTCAGGGTCCCTTGCCGAAGCCTTTCCCAGTTGGCGCTGCTGCGGGAGGTACTTCGAGACACTGAGGGCGTAGGAAGGGGCAGGTGGGGGTTGAAGGGACAGCCCAGCTCCAGTTTTTCCACCGAGTCTTTGTCCAAGTCCTCAGAGCCCCGGGTGTGGAAGGCCCGCGCGTAGCGTTGGATCCGCTGCCGGTTGAGATCCTGCCTGTCTTCCACCCTGTGGAATGCAGGCGGACTTCAGAGACAACCAGGACTTGAAGAGAAGATCCCAGAAGGGTGCTTGTGTCTCATCCCCTGGTCCCCCCATCCCCGCCATTGCTGGCCTTTCCCCTGCTCTGCACCCTTGGTGGATGCCTGGGTCCCTGGCCCCTTGGCAGTCAGGCCTCAGGAAGCAGCAGGCTCTCCCACAGCCTCCCTAGATGCTTTGAGAAGTCCAGGCTCCAAACGGGGCCCCTTCCTTAGCAGCTCAGTCAACAAGCACACAGGCTAGGGAGCACCCAGGCGTCCACGGGGACCCCAGGAACAGGAAGTTGTCTGAGCAGAGGGACACCCAGCCGATGAGTCTTCTCAGGGGATGCCTACCCCCCCCCATGTCACTCACCGCAGGAACCCCCATGTCACTCACCGCAGGAACCAGCGGTCCCCCAGGCCGTACTCCCGTCCGCAGATCCCAGAGCGAGGCCACAGGCAGCGAGGCAGCTTCCGCTCCAGCATCACCGTGGTGGCCACGATCTGCATATAGGGACAAAAGGGGAAGTCAGAGATGAGGCTGGGTGCAGACAGAGGAATGAGAACTGCAGACTGAGAAGGAGGAGAGGATGCAGGCAAAGGGTAACAGTCTAGCAATGGCAAGGAAACGTGCAAGCTCGCGGTTTCCCAGGGGTGATGAACAACGCCCCTGGATCTGGGAGGTGGTGCTGGCTTTGTTGACCCTCTTCAGTGGGAGAGAGTTGATAGGGCTTGAGACCAATAATTCTTTACCCAATGACCTGACATCAATGACACAGCCAGGCCGGAGGCAGGAGAAAGGAGGCAGAAGCCCCATTCCCAGGAGCCCAGGGACCAGAGAAAGCAAAGAGAAAGGGGTCCTAAGGGCTCCCAGATATTTTGACCCTACAGACATAAAGGTCACTTATCAATATAAAAATCTCACTTAGAATATCAATATATATTTCTGGAGAAAATATTTTCCTGAGTAGACCTTATTTCCCAGCTTCGTTTTTCCACTCTGTTTTCTACACACCACCGTTAAACGCCTTCCAGTTTGGGAAATTTCCATTTTTATTTTGCTGAATTGATTTTTTTAGATAAATTATTTTCTAGGTGTTTTTTAAATGAGGATTTGATTCATCACATGATCCTCTCCCTATCTCGAAGCTCCAGCTGAAGACAGCTTCTGCTACTACAGGAAGTTTTTGTGGTATTATTTTTAACACATCCAACATTCCACATCAATTTTTTGCAGACTTAAAAATTATCAAGAAGACTTGATACTCCAGTTTTCATTCGGGAACCAAACGTACTGAGTGCAGTTTTAGCCACCGTTAGCTTTATTTTCTGTTGATTTATTTCTTGTTGATTCCTCTAGAAAACACTGAGCTTTTAAATGTTGAGAAAACTGTGAGGCATTCTTCTCAGCGATTCCAGTATTGCCTGGTTGAATTGCTAATCAGTGCTTCTGTGCAATTTTGCTTGCTTTGCCACAACTGTCCAAACGTAAGTAGGGTCGAGAGACTCTGCCTCTCCCTGAGCTTGGCAGGTTCCTTGGTGGGAAGGGGAGGAGGTGCCCTAGCCCTCCCGGCCACCAGGGGGCTCACCTGGGCCCTCCACAGCTCATCCCGCTCGTGGGCCACCCGCCAGTGAGTGTCACCCATCATGGCAATGAGGAGGTTGAGCATGAGCAGCGTGGCGATGATGGCGAAGGCAGCGTAGGTGATGCTGTACATGAAGGGCAGGTCCACATTGTAGTTGGCGGGGCCATCGATGATGGTGAGGAACAGCTCGAAGGTGCTGAACAGGGCCATGGGGTAGTCGTAGAAGTGGCCCAGCTCCTCCGGGTCTTCTGTCTGGAAGATGATATAGAAGGCTGCTCCACCCAAGGGAGGTGAGGGTTACCATGGCAACCGTGCAGGCGACCAGCCCACCCGGGCTCTGCGTCTGTGTCCATCCTGGTCCCTTCATCTCAGTATCACCAGCCCTGCAGTGCTCCAGACTTTGGGTTTTTAAAGTCCCTAGTTTTCTAAGAGCCTCATCTTCTTGATCCCAAGAGCCACCTCTCCCTCACACTCCTGATTCTTCTCACCTCTGGAAGACGTCCCATCCTCTGACATCATATGGTCTTCTCTGATCTCTGCATTAATCCTCCTCCCCAAGTTTAGCCCCAGCCAGTGCCCCCTAGATTTTCTCATCTCCTCCCTGCCATGGCCTCTGATCCTGGACAGTTGATTACCTGAAGCGAAGCCCAGGATGACCACAGCCATCAGCCAGCAGAAGCGCATCAGGTCGCCAAAAATCATCTAGAGGGAGCAGGAGGCAGAGAACATCTGCATACATTCCCCAAGCAATTGCCCTGTCCAAACCTCTAACAGGTCTAATCCCATAAGCCTCACAGCTCCACCCTCTGGGACAGGGATTGGCTAACTATGGCCTACAGGCCAGATCTACCTGTCCTGTTTTGGTGTGGCCTTTGAACTGAAAAGAGTTTCTCCATATTTAAAGGATTGTTAAAAAAAAAAAAAAAAAAAAAAAAAAAAAAAAAAAANAAAAAAAAAAAAAAAAAAAAAAAAAAAAAAAAAAAAAAAAAAAAAAAAAAAAAAAAAAAAAAAAAAAAAAAAAAAAAAAAAGAAGAAGAAGAAAAACATGCTATGAAGCCATGTGTGGCTTGCAGAGCCTGGAATGTCTACCATTCGGCCCTTGATGGGACTGTCTGCTGACTGCCGCTCTGGGGCCTTTCTCTAGGGAGCTTGGGGGGAGGACTGACCTTCTGGATCATGATGGTGAAGGGGCCCAGCATCTGGAATCCTCGGGCGAAGTACATGACGTTGCACCAGCCCAGCACCAGGGCAAACGACATAGGTACCACCTCCCCGTTGGCACTGGTGAGCCTCATCACCATTGTCACCAGCACCATGAAGGCATAGGCGATGCTGGGGGAGGAGGGAGGAGGGTGATGAGGGGAGGGCTGGGATGATCCTGGGGACCCGACAGCAAGAAGGTAGCTGGGAAAGTGCCCACACATGCAGATTCAGCCTCCCCGCACTCCAGGCACAGGGTCATACACACAGCACTAGAGAGGGAGCTCTGGAGCTAAGGTTCTCGAGAGGTCAGGAATCCAGGGAGTGCAACTGGAGCCCTTTTGAGGGAAGGGTTGGGAGTGAGAGGAAGGAGACTCACATGAGGACATGGAATGGACCCCCAAGGATGGTCTGTCCAAAGAAGCGAGTGACCCCCATTCTGAAGATGTCTGGAATCTAAAGAGAAGTCAGGGAGACACAAAGGCACTCAGAGACCGGAACTCGGGCTGGATTCCCGGGGCAGACAGCCTCGCCCAGATTCCATCCACACCTCACCTCTACCAGCAGGATGATGACAGCCCCAATGACAGTCACCAGCTCCCCCACCAACCGGATGTCATCCTTAGGGGTCACGTAGGCTTCCTGAGTGGGGAGAAGAACGGTCAAAACACTCAGGGCTTTGAGGCATCTGCCCTGGGTTTCCATGGTGCCCAGGGTCACCAGCCCCAGCAGATTCTTTTTAATCTGTGAGGTTAGGCTCTTCTCAAGCTCTGTTATCAGAGTAAGAGCCTATGTGTGTTTCTGTGGGCATGCATTTGGAGTTTGTACTCATGTATTTGAGACGGGAACAATGGGAGAAATGGTGTGAGGAAGGGAAGGGACACGAGTCTGAGAAAAAGCAGAGACCCAAGTCCTGCCCTGCTGATCTGCTCCTCCGAGGATGTCACCTGAAATAGCTTCTGCTGTAAGAGGGTGTTGTCCCGGGAGCTCGTGCGGTTATTGGTCCTGGGCTTCAGGGGGCGGTTGACGCAGCACATGGTAAAGCAGATGATATACAGCAGGTATATGGCACCCAGCACGCAGAAGTACGGCCGCCCGTACCGCTTCCACTTGAGGTTCACCAGCTCCTTCACTGGTGTCTGGTCCAGGATCTGACGAGCCTGCAACAGAAAGAGAACAGGAAGCTCAGAGACCCTGACACCCCTCCCCAGCCACAGCCTGCTGTGACAAGCCCTACCTCCCGCTTCTTGGTGGTGATGATAAGTTCCAGCAGGGACTGCTCATCGCCCGAGG